GTGTTCAGTTTTGGGCCCCTCACTACAAGAAGGACGTCGAGGTGCTGGAGCGTGTCCAGATAAGGGCAACGAGGCTGGAGAGGGGTCTGGAGCACAAGTCTGATGAGGAGCGGCTGAGGGAACTGGGGTTGTTCAGCCTGGAGAAGAGGAGGCTGAGGGGAGACCTCATCGCGCTCTACAACTACCTGAAAGGAGGTTGTAGCGAGGTGGGTGTCGGTCTCTTCTCCCAAGTAACAAGCGATAGGACGAGAGGAAATGGCCTCAAGTTGCGCCAGGGGAGGTTTAGATTGGACATGAGGAAAAATGTCTTTACTGAAAGAGTGGTCAAACATTGGAAGAGGCTGCCCAGGGAAGGGGTTGAGTCACCATCCCTGGAGGTATTTAAAAGACGAGTAGATGCGGCACTTAGGGACATGGTTTAGTGGGCATGGTGGGGTTGGGTTGATGGTTGGACTCGATGATCTTAGAGGTCTTTTCCAACCTTAATGATTCTATGATTCTATCTGCACTTCTATAGCAACGCTGTTCAACTTCTTGCACCTTTTTTTTGTCCTACAAGAGACGTTCAACTAATGCCTGTGTTAACGTGTCTGGGGGTAACGGTCCTGTGTTGCATCTGTTTTAAAGGACATTTATGGAAATTAGGTAGCAATTTTATCCTGAGTAAGCAGGCTAATATTCTGTCACTCTGCATTATTCAGGTGGCTGTCGCTCTTAGAAAATAGATATTAGGTGTTTTCAGTTAAGTGGCATTAAACTTTTGTGGACAGAGCAGTAGGATTTCATTGCAAATGCATTGTCCCATTTTAGTGGAAGCTTTGCATTAACAAGTTCCATCTTAATAAATTATTCTGTTCAACCTGCCTTGTGACTTATACTATCGTAAGATCCTGCCCTTAATATTAAAATGTAAGCACAGATTTCCTCTCCCAAGGCTAAGGCTGCATAAAAAGACTTACACTGAAGCTAAGAAATCCCCTGACTGGATAAAGATAATTTTTCTCTGAGAATAAGGAGAAACAAATATCCATGCACTTTAGAGAGGAGGAAATTCTGCTGTAGATTGTTCTTCCTCCGTCTTGTTAAAAAAAGGAATCTTGACTTAATATATAGTCTGTTTCCAAACTATTGGCATCTTTCACAAATATAGGCTGGCTGGCTTATGAACAGCTAGCACAGTTTGTGTAGCCAAAGATAGTTGTCATCATGCACTTATTAATGAGTACACATATCTCTGAACATCAAATGCTGTGCTATTTTCAGAGACGTCCTTCCACATCCCGTTTTCTGCTCGTTTTTAAAAAATTTTTTTCCTTACCCTCCTGCGATTTTCCTTCAAAGCTCAGTGGTAGAAAGCAGAGAGGAGAGGAACCTGGGAAAGGAGATGTTCTCATCTGTCCAGCTTCCCCATGTCAGGAGCTACTCTGTGCATGTCATTCCTGACAGATGTTTGCCTAATCTGCTCTTAAAAAACTCCAGTGATGGGGCTTTGACAGTCTCCTTAGGCAATCTGCTCCAGCACTTTGCTGTACCTATCATTAAGAAGGGTTTCCTGATATCTAACCTGCAATTAAAGGCCACGGTTTCCCGTGCAACCCATCATCAGGCTGACCTTACAGCCTTACAGCCAAGCCAGCTCCACCAAGTCAACTGCATTTCCTTGTTAGATCTTCCTTGCCAACACTGCTCCTTGGGTAACGTGCTCTCTTCTGCCAGGAGTAGCCAGGGCGGTGCGAGCGCCGCCGGTTTTGTCAAGCGTCCAGCCTGGTGTCCCACGGGTTGGCGATGGGCAGGTTTCCCTCTCGGATCCCATGCAGCTGACGGGAAGGTGGCTGCCTGCCAGTAGACGCTATTGAATTAGGAGATTCAGTAAATCCCAGGAGAGGCGCTGCCACAGTAAAGTTGCAGCAGTTTTGTGCTGATAAAACTAGCAGCGCTCACCATGGTCCCAGGCCTCAGAACAGGAGCTGAAGCCTTTTTTGTCCTGGAACAAAATGTGCTGTGAGAGCAGTCGTACCATATATTGCATATATGCAATCAATCACATCTAGCACTTTGGACATACATTTTTTGATGAGAGCATTTCTGTAACCATTTTAGCAGTTTAAAGGCATATAAAAAAATCAAAGAGGTCACAGTTTTGGCTTGTTTTTTTTCCAGTTGCTTCCTTTTAAATATTAGCAGGTGAAATACATCCCATGGCAGCCAGGCCTGATGGAGAAGCTGTAGATGCCAGCCTGCTGTGAGTGAGGTCGAGGTGCTGGGGAGCTGAGGCAGTTGCTTACTGGTGTGCAGCAGCAATTGAGAGTGAGTCAGTATAGATGCAGGCATATCACAATATTACCATGGCAAGATAAACTCTGAGCCACTTTTTTAATACACTTAAACAGTGCTGAACATTATAAGAGTGTTTCCTTCTGCAAATTATTTAAAACTGGAACATGGTAGTAATGCTTTCATGTAAAGCAGCTGGGGAAATAGCCCTGACTGCCAAGAATAGGTATTTTTCACAATGGAAACGAGCTAGCTAAGCTAGGTTTACTTTTGCTGCCTGTGTAAATGATAGCAGTGTGTAGCTAAACTGGTTTTGAGACTAGGAATTTTTGGAGACATCCAAAATTAGATAAAATAAGGTTTGGATCAGTAGGAGGGGGGGCATAAAGTAGCAGGGGTGAATAAACTTTGTGTAACTGGCAATTTTGGTAAGCGGGTCAAGGTCAGTGGGGTTTGTCTCTATATTTTGACATACGCACCCTGATATCCATTTCATTTTACAAGGTGTGTGCGTGCACCGAGATAATGCACCAAAGGGTCACTGGCAGGTTACAATGTGCCAGCCGTCACGTGTGGAGTGTCTAGAATAGTGCCAAGATACAATTTCAGGGGTCTGGGGGCACCGATAGCATTCAGAGCCCTACAAAACACCTGTGGCCCACGTAACGTCTCGCTAGCTCTTTGTCACTGAGCATCCCCTTGACACCTGTGATCCTGAGCTAACAGGTCCATTTCTATTTGTGCAAGGCATTTTTTAAGGCATTCTTCCCCGAGTTGTCTTCTGGATGACCTGGAGGAGCTTCAGTGAGTTGCCCATGTTCCTTCACTCAGGGAGCAAAAAGGAGAAGAAAGGACAAAGTTTGTTTTCAAAATGAGAATTGGGTTTTTTTTTACAAAACACCGTCAAATTTGGACTTCGTATTCCACGCAGTGTGGGAGGTAGATCTGTTGCATGAGAGAGGTTTCAGTTTCAAACTAATAATTAGAAGAATACATTTAAACCTTTGTCAATATAAAAGTGATTTCAGGTGCTCAGGAATGCTCTGCCTCTTCCTTGTGGTTTGAAGGAAAAATTTTAAACATTTTCCACCCTGCAGCTATTGAGGGCAGTGAAAGAAAATACCTATAAGCTACTAGGAAACGTACAGAATAAACTCGTTTCCCACTTCCCGCTTCTTGTAATAATCATCGATTGTAGGTACTACTCGAAACATACTTTCAGACAAACTTTGCACTTTTAAAAATGGTATTTTCTGTCAGGCAGAGTTTGTTCACACCCCATGGCAGAGAAGCAGAGGCCCAAGTCGAAGCCTGCTGGATTCAACGGGCTTTCGACGAGGTGCAACCCCTTCACATTTTCCTAAAAATCCCCGGTGCTGTTAACCCGCGGCTCCCCTTTTCCAGCCCGTCTCCCTGGGGAGAGGCAGAAGCCTATTTGAAGGCAAACAAGCCGTAGAGCCTACAAGGTGTAAATATCTTTCATAAATGCCAACGCTGAAAAAGCCTGGGCACTGGGAGTGTGACACACGACGACAGGCAGTTCACGCCGCACGAGGGGGGAATGATACGCCAGCGCTGCCGCAGCCACCGAGATGCGCATAGATTGCGCCCGGGCATCCCTGGACCCCCCCA